GACTAGGCCTCGACAAAACCTAGAAAAAAAGAATAAGGAAAACAAAAAATCGTCCCCATGCAATTTGGCAGTGCCTAAGTTAGGAAGCCCCCCCAGGTTTCGTAGGAGCAAATTCAAGTACAAGGCATAATAACTTGGTCAATCTAATGACACGGTCACTCCATGTCTTTCGAAGGAATACGATGCGGAATAATTTTTAGTATCGCCAAGTAAATGAAATGATTAAAATTATAATTTTTATATACTAGTTTATACTTATTCTTAATTTCAATCTACTTTAGTTTATGCGCCGCTAACAACATTTAACCAGATAACTTAATGCACATTTAGCAAATCATCATCAACGTCAACAGGCCTGCTGACTTTGATAGACTCGACGACTTGTAAGTACGGCACAGCCGGCGTAAGCATGCATGCATAAATGCATATGTTAGGTTAAATGTGTTAGCGCACCCACATTGTAAGCTCAGCTGATAAGCATACATACAACCTTTTTGCCCCAGCTTTTACTCAGCTATTATGTTGCGTTGAGCTTTCAATATAATCTACATAGATAATAAGCTTAACGATCATCCAACATACAGATTATTTGTTTTTATTTTCTTTATGACATGAGAGCCTTCCGCTTTATACTGATCATTAGTGAACACAAATTATCAAAATTATCAGTTCAACATATTTTTTTTCTTTTGCCTTGTTTTGCTCATTCTATTTGTAAACAATTGCTAGACTTCAGTAAACTTTGTAATCACCTGAAGTCTAACGTGGATTCTCCTTTTATATGATATTCTTTTCTTGAGCATATTAATCTAAGCAAATGTTAACATCTTAGTTTTTCTTTAATTACTACATCACATTTAATTAGTACTATGGTTTGTATTTTCCTGTCCCTTTCTCTGTCTGGGAAGCCGAGATATGAACCAGCAAGGAGTGGTTGACAGAGTCGAAAGCCTTACTGAAATCAGTGTAGTTGACGTCAGTCTGCAACCTTTTCTTAAACCCATCAATTACAAGCGAAGTAAACTCAAGAAGGTTAGTGGTTGTAGATCTGCGCTTTACGAACCCATGTTGTTAAGGTGAAATGATAGAACTACATAAATGTTGCAGTTGAGATGTTATTATTCTCTCAAAAGCTTTAGGTATAGCGGATAATTTGGAAATACCTTTATAGTTTTTTGACATCTGACTTACTCCCTTTCTTATGGAGAGGGACCGACCAAATGGTCGGAAAAGATGAAGTGTTTACGGACAATTCAAAAAGTTTTAACACTGGTTTACAAATTGCTGCAGCACAGTACCTGAGCACACAAGCAGGAACACCATCAGGGCCCGGTAAGTTAACCGGCTTGATAGTGTTAAGGTCGCTGAGAAGCGAACTTTCCGTAATAATGGGATTTAAGAAGCAGGTTGACTTCTGTTACTGATAAGGATAAGGCTGATTTTTATTATACCTAGATGCGCTGTCATCTGCAAACTTAACCGAAGAAGGCAAAATAGATGTCTTTCGTTTAGAATTGACAAAGTTAAAAAATTGCTTAGGCTTATGAGAGTATTGGAGGCGACAACGGAGAAGGTAATCCTTATAACAGATAGAATTTTGGGTAGAAAAGTTTGATCGGGCATAGCAGGAGAAATCAGAGTGATTTCCCGATTTCTTGAACTTTTTATAACACCTCGACTTCTAATTTTTTAATCTCATAAGTTCACTTGAGAACCAGGGAGGCCTATCAGACATCAAAAAACCAGTACAAGGTACCATAAAATAGTTTAATGGCAACATCAATGTCTGCACAATTGCACAGTTGCGACCAGTCGGCTTGCAGAATAAGATCATTCAGTTTATGAAAATCTGCCTTTCGAAAACAACGGACACATTCAGCTAATTCCGATTCCTCGGGCTGGTAGATCAATGACCATATCCAAAGTTGGATGAAAAGGGTCTTCAGGAAGCGTAAGCGGATTTATCCTGTGCACAACACTGTCGAACGAATCCAACACGAAAATTAGATCAAGAGATCTGTTTCTTGAATTTCGCACACGATTAACCTGCCGTAAGGACATTTCATGAAGACCATCAATAAATTCGTTTGACGAGGACGACAACAGAAAGTTTGAGTCTGATGGCGATGACCGATCGACATCTGGGAGATTAAAGTCCCAAAGAACTACAAAAAGGTCCCTATCAGAAAGTAAGGAGGCGATAGATTTAATAGCATTAAGATGGGTTTGATAAATTGACAAGTTAGATAGAGGGGGTACATATGAACATGAAATAAAGATAGAAAAACTTCCAAATACAACTCTCACAGCCACCAACTCAATTTTTGAGATGGGAAGTTGAATGCGTTCCGATGGAAGAGCAGACTCGACAGCTATGAGTACTCCTCCTCCGATACGGGAAGCTCGATCACGTCTGTGAGTGGTGTATTTATAGAAAAAATGTAAAAGCGATAATTTGAAAATTAAAAGCAAGAGAATCTAAATACAGGTTAACTAGTTTAGATTTAAGACCTCTAACATTCTGGTAGGCAAGCTCGAAAAAAGAATTTAGTTTTTTGACGCAGCAACTAAAGTTGAAGGAGAGCTATTGCGGGTTTTTTTTGGCAGACTGCAACTAATTTGGAATTTAAAACCGAAGAGTAGCTCCCATATAAACATTTGTTCAAGTTATATATATTATATATTATATTTTCCTTTATAAAAAAGGGCCATTTCTTCTGAATGTGGATAGGGAGGGAAAATAAAGGCATACAATAACAGTCTGTTAAAAGAATGAATATTTGAGTGTGAATAGGTAAACATATTCTGCTTTTATATAATTATGTTCTGACTTTAAAGCTCATAATCATGTTTAATCCCGTAAAAAAGTGAAATCGGAACTATTGGATTTCGGCAATTAAAAATTAATATCAATTTTTGGTACGCTATTGAAATTAAAAATTTAACTACTCGTGTATGCAACGCCTGAACCCATTGAAAATGGGTAAAAAGGGTATAATGTTTTTGTGCAAATGTATGTAACAGGCAAAAGGAAGCATCTCCAACCCTATAAAGTACATATATTATTGATCAACATCAATAGCCGAGTCGATCTTGCCATGTCTGTCTGTCTGTCCGTCCGTCCGGACGGTTTCATTTTCATTTTATTTTATACCTATCGCCACCTCCCCGCTACCACCATAAAGCCATAAATCAAGTTAATTATCTAACTTGTATTGCCCATCAATTTAAGCCACAATTTATATGTAATTGACTTTTTGAGTATACACAAATATTCTTTATTCTATTCTACAATAAGATGTATTGTCGAAAATTTCATCAAGATCGGTTAAGAAACACAGAAATGATTAAAGAAAGCGTGTTTTGACTTTTCTCCTAACAGCGGCAGCAAGCGCAAATTCCAAGACTTTCTGTATACATGTACACACACACATTCATGCGCGTCTGCTTTGAATTCTATCAACAGCATTGCAATTGAGATTGTATTGTTTTCTGTGCTGTTATTTTAATTGGTTTTTTCTCTCATTAAAACTCAATTATTGGTGTGGCTCTTGAGTAGAGGCGGCGGCAAGTGGTGCGGTTAGTTGTGAGTTCGAACCCTGCCAAGGGAACAATATTTCTTTTTATGTTAATTTTTCTTTTTTACTACTAAAGTAAACAAGCGCGTAGCACGAGCTGCATTTGGTGTTGGAAGAAGAGGGTTCAGGGAATCTCTAGTCGGGAGCTCCCGACTAGAACCTCTTACTTGTTTATATATCCACTGTACACCCGTCTACAAAATTTGTACATGTTTTATTTTACGTTTATTTTAGGAAACTTATAAAAAAACTATACTTGCCTATAAAACTATTCAAAATTATTTTGGAATATCTGTACCTATTTCTAAAATTGATGTGGTTATCATACCTGAGCTACCAATAGTGCGTCCCGTGGATAATTGGGGTTTGTTGTTGTTTAGGTAAGATTCATTTTAAGCATCGAAATGCTAATTTTTTTAAATAATCATATTTCAACAGAGAAAGCGTTATTATACAAAATCGTTATTATGACATAGCTCAGGAGCTTATATATCAATGGCTTGGTTCGTGGGTGACTCCTGAATGGTGGACTGACGCTCATCTTAATAAAGCGCTGGCAAGTTTTTTGGCATCAGAAACTGTTATAAAGGTAAGTTATTATGTTTACTTAAATAAAGGTTAGGCATTTTAAATAAACTAAGTCTACAGTTAGATGGAGGAGTCGAGTTTAATGGCAAATATCCAATGACTACCCTTTATTCGTTATACTATGAATTCAGTAAAAGATATCCACATTCACGTATTACTGCAATGAAGCAAGAGACAATTTCTTACAAAACTGAGCTTGTTATACGCATGCTTAACTTTACCTTGGGTAAAGACACGTTTCAAAAAGGATTAAAAAAGTTTATTGAAGATTATCAGTATAAAACATTTGTTGGAGATGATCTTTGGAGTGTGTTAACGTCGCAGGCGCTAAAGGATGGAACGCTAAAAAGCCAATACAGACTAACTGATATTGTCGGTACATGGCTTGCAAATCATCGCCTACCAGTCATTACTGTCCACCGGGATTATGAAACTAGTACTGCGACTATAAAACAAAAAGTGTATCTCAGAGAAAGACCACATGATGTACCAGAGCAAGACAAAATGCTTTGGTGGATTCCAATTATTATTAATCGACAAGATGCCCTTAATTTCTCTAATAGCAGTCCTTATGTGTGGATGGAAAAGTCTCAGCAAATAAATATTAATAATATGCCAGGAAATGATAAATTTATTATTATAAACCAAGAAGAAATAGGTCCATTTCCTGTTAATTACGACGAAGAAAATTGGAAAATGCTCTCAACATTTTTGCAAACTGAAGTTGGACGCACCGTAGTACCAACATATACGAGGTAAGCTTTAAGAGAAATCATTTACGTAAGTATTATTAAGTAAACTATCTGCACTAAGTAACATAAATATACCTACTTTCTTAGATTTTTTGAATAATGTGATGAGATTTTTATTTTTTTAAACCCTGAACCCATTAAAAATGGGTGAATAGGGTATAATGTTTTTGTGCAAATGTATGTAACAGGCAGAAGGAAGCATCTCCTACCCCATAACGTATATACATATATTCTGGATCAGCATCAACAGCCGAGTACCCGCGCAGATCGAGTTTGTTTCCGTTATTGCATAACTTGCCCCGTTTCCAAGTAATCAATATAAAACCATATCGAAATCCTGTTTTTGTGCCATTTTGGTAAATAATATGAGGTAAATAGAGTCGCCAAACTTAACATGTAGCTTCTAGAATAGTATATATATAAAAGTATCTTTCATTTTATAGCTATCGCCACCTCCCCTGTACGACCACAAAGCTATAAATCAAGTTAAAAAACCAACTTGTATTGCCCACTAATTTAAGCCACAATTAATGCAATTGATAATACAATTGAGAATACACAAATATGCTATATTCAATTCTACAATAAGATGAACAGTCGAAAATTTCATTAAGATCTGTTAAGAAATACAAAAGTTATGTTCCCACGTGTTAGCATCACCTAGCGCAAATTCCAAGAATATCTGTAAACATGTACACACACACATTAATGCGCGATAATATTGTTTTCTGTGCTGCTATTTTAATTGGTGTTTTTCTCATTAAAACTCAATTATTGGTGTGGCTCTTGAGTAGAGGCGAGTTTGAACCCTGAAAAGGGAACAATTTTTTTTTTCCATTTTAATTTTTCTTGATTACTACTAAAGTAAACGAGCGCGTTGCGCGAGCTGCATTTGGTGTTGGAAGAAGAGGGTTCAGGGTATCCCCTAGCAGGGAGCTCCCGACTATAACCTCTTACATGTTTTTATACCCTTGCAGACGGTATTATAATTTTGTCGTGAAATGTGTAACGCATAGAAGGAGACATCTCCGACCCCATAAAGTATATATATTCTTGATCAGTATCAACAGCCAAGTTGATATAGCCATGTCCGTCTGTCTGTTTCTATGCGAACTAGTCTCTCAGTTTTAAAGCTATCTTTATAAAACTTTGCAGAATTCCCTCTTTCTGTTGCACGCAGTTCATATGTCAAAACCAGCTGGATCGGACCACTATATCATATAGTTGCCATAGGAACGATCGGTCGAAAAGTAGGTTCTTGTATGAAAAACATTTTTGTTTATAAAGTTATCTTGGCTAAACTTGGTATTTATTAGTTTTACTACGCTCCCCATATATATACAAAATCCTATTAAGATCGGACAACTATATCATATAGCTGCCATAGGAACGATCGGTCGAAAATTATGCTGTTGTATGGAATTTTTTTTGTTTTTCAAGATATCTTGACCAAACTCGGCATTTATTAGTTTTACTATGCTCCCTCCACTTATGAAAAATCTTATTCCCATCGGGCTACTATATCATATAGCTGCCATAGGAACGATCGGTAGAAAATTAAGTTGTTGTATGGAAACCTGTATTGTTTTTCAAGATTCTTAACCATACTCGGCATTAACTATTTTCCCTGTGCTTCTTAGATACGGGCAAAGCACTATGAGCATTTTGAAAAGGTTGGGTCTGCAAGGGTATTAAATCTCCGGCGTGCCGAAGATAGCACTTCTTTCTCGTTTAATTTAAAAACTGTGTTTTCTTTCAAGAAGTATATATGCATTTCTCATCATAGCACGAGAATCTCATTACCAATTTTGAAAGGCTTTACAGTTCCGGAAAGCTTATGAATCTATTAATCATTCATATACAGTTATTCACTTAGATATGACTATTCCATGCATATAAGTATTTTTGAATTAAGAAAATCATGATGTTATGGTTATTTAATGATTTTTTAGTTCAAAATTACAGAAAAACTGCGAAAAAATAATTGTTTACCCTTACTCTCAATTACATAATTCTTATGTCTGACTTTAATTTAAGCTACTATCGATATACATATATATATTCTTACCATGAATTGCGATCTCTAGCTTCTCTTTATGATGAAAAAGCTTAGCACACGACTTGTGAAATTACTTAAGTAAAATAAAGAAGAATTAAGAACACAAAAGTGGTGTCAGAAGTGGTCAAAATGAGCATTGTTAACGACCAACTACGAGACGTCATCAGTTCACTGACTGTTCAGCAGTGCAACAAGCGGGTCCAAATGCACGTGGGGCAGCAATCTCTACGAAAGTACCCCCGTTTACAATGCCAAACTTCAAGGGCGGTGAAGACTGTACAGTGGAAGACTGCCTCCAACAATTCGAATGGGCACTGCAAAATCGCAGCACTTGCGATGAGGTAATCGCAAAACAGCCAACAGCCTTTGCAGACGCATACGAGGCTGCATATGCCAGGGAGTTGTTACTACGATCAGCAAACACGGTTAATGATAACCAAGCTGCAGATACAGAGCCTACATGCAAACTGGGCTTCTCGCCAATCAGGAGGAAGCCGTCAAGCGGAGTGAAACAGGGAAGCAAATGCTACGGATGTGGAGGCCAACACTTGCGCAAAGATAGCAAATTCAAAAACGAGAAATGCTACGTATGTGGTAAAGTGGGCCATATAAGTAAGGTATGTAAAGCCAATACGAAACAGATCTCCGAGCCAACAGATTCAGACGCCCCGGAAGAAATACAATTTATACAACAGTCTAATACCAACGCCATCAAGTCAGTAGGTAGAAAAATCATAGCAATGAAGATTGATGGAATAAAAATACCAATGGAACTGGACACAGGTGCTCCGTGCAGCAAAATGAATGAAAAGACCCTTCGGAAAATTAAACCGTTAATACGATTAAAGAAAACCGACCGCAAATTTTCGAGTTATAGAGGGCACAGGATCAACTGCTGTTGGCGGGCAGTTGTTAACGTGACTTATGGAAAGACTACAGGTAAACTAAATCTGTATGTAGTAGAAGGAAACCTGGACACACTGCGTGGGCGAGAATGGATCTCCCAATTTGCAAAAGAAATTGATTTTACTGGGATCTTTACAAACAATTCTGTCAACACCTACGCCAGAAGTTGGACATTGATTACCAATAACAAACCACTCGCACAAATTTTACACCCTACCAAATCACTACCGACACTATGCTTTTTAGGATTGCAAACTATGCAGATTTTTTAATAATACGACAAATTAATCAGCTTCCAGTTACAGCTTCGGTAGTTGCTCGAGAAACCAGAAAAGACCAGCATTTGGGCAAAATTTTGCAAATACTGGAGAGTGCCCAATGTCTAACACGAAATGGATACAAATCACCAGAGTGCAAGTATGAGTTATCATCGGGCTGCATTACTTTCGAACACCGTGTGGTTATCCCGACTAAACTTCAAAAACTGATCCTGGACGAACTACACAGGGCCCACTTGGGTATAGTAAAAATGAAGGGTATTGCACGCTCTTTCGTCTACTGGCAATCTGGAATCGATAAGGACATCAAGAATGCGGCAAGAACATGCGAGTTCTGTGCAAAACACGCGAATCAACCTCCGAAATGTTTCGATCACAATTGGGAATACCCTAAGTCGCCATGGGAGCACATTCACATCGACTACGCGGGCCCATTTGAAGGCGCGATGCTTTTGATTGTTACGGATGCATACTCAAAGTGGTTGGACGTTAAGATCACTAAATCAATTACGGCAACAAAAACAAGCGAATTACTAGATGATTTATTTACTATGTATGGTGTCCCCCTCATGGTAGTCTCCGATAACGGAACAAATTTCACTTCGGATGAATTCAAGCAATACCTCACATCTGTTGGCGTCAAATATCACAAGTTATCAGCACCCAAAGACATCCAGCACACTTAAAAGAAATGTAAACAAATTCATACAGCAATACAGAAACGCTCCGCATAGCACAACTGGCGAAGCTCCAGCGAAACTTTTCTTGGGTCGAAAATTACGTACACGACTGGATTTGATCAGACCAGAAGCCATCAAGGAAAAGGTATCAGCAAAACAATTTTTAAAATGCAAGCAGTCGTGGCGCCAGTCGTGACTCGAGTACATAAACCAAGAATGATATTCTCACCAGTCCCTTAGAAGGGGAAGAACTGTTATGTCTGACTTTAATTTAAGCTTCTATCGATATATATATTCTTAGCATGTAAGTTATCGCGCGATTGAATCCCTAGCTTCATGACTTGTGAAATTACCTAAGTAAAATAAAGAAGAATTAAGAACACGAAAATAATTGAACAAGTAAGAGGTTCTAGTCGGGAGCTTCCAAGTAGGGGATACCCGACCCCTTTATTCCAACACCAAATGCAGCTCGCGCGACGCGCTCGTTTACTTTAGTGGTAATAAAGAAAAATTAAAATGAAAACAAGTGAGAGGGTCTAGTCGGGAGCTCCCGACTTAGAAATATCCTGAACCCTTTTCTTCAAACACCAAATGCAGCTCGTGCTACGCGCTCGTTTGCTATACTAGTAATAAAGAAAAATTAAAATATAAAAAAAAAATTGTTCCCTTTTCAGGGTTCGAACTCGCTTCTACTCAAGAGCTACACCAACAATTGAGTTTTAATGAGAAAAAAACCAATTCAAATAGCAGCACAGAAAACAATACATTCGCAATTGCAATGCTGTTGATAGAATTTAAAGCAGACGCGCATGAATGGGTGTGTGTGCATGTATACAGAAATTCTTGGAATTTGCGCTTGCTGCTGCACGTGTTTGCAGGCCAAAACACATTTTCTTTCGTGTTTCCTTACCGATCTTAATGAAATTTTCAGTAGTAGATCTTATTGTACTATAAAATATTCGTGTATTCTCAAAATGAGAATTTCATTTAAATTGTGGCTTAATTAGGTAGGCAATACAAGTTGGTTTACTAACATGGTTTAAAGCTTCTTGGTGGTAGCAGGGAGGTGGCGATAGCTATTAAATGAAAGATACTTGATATATATATACTATTCTATAAGCTACATGTCAAGTTTAATGACTCTAGCTCTTATTGTTTAGAAAAATTGCTTAAAAAACAGGATTTCGATATCGATTACTTGGAAACGGGGCAAGCTATCGAATATCGGAAGCAAACTCGATCTGCGCGGGCACTATGAGACTTTCAAGTCTCTAGCTCTTATAGATTCTGAGATCCTTGCGTTCATACATAAGGACGGACGGACGGACAGATGGACGGACGGACGGATGGACAGACGGACAGACAGACGGACATAGCTAGATCGACTCGGCTGTTGATGCTGATCAAGAATATACAGTATAATTTGCTTAGCTGCCTCAAGTACTTTGTACAGACATTAGAGGCAGCTATCCTAAAAAGGCAGTTAACTTAATTTATTTTTTTCCTAAAAGTGAATCGATTTAATAGTAACCTCAATATTTTTTTAAGTTGCACTGAATTTTATTTAACAGTACAAAGTTGAATAAATTAATTTGATAATTTTTATTAACTTTATGTATATAAATTACATTTTATTCATTTTCAATACAGTTTATTGTATACATAAGAAAAACAAATCAAAAATCTACACATCTGATCATAGATGGCGCAGGTAATTAATTTCATAAAAAATTAGCTCTTATTGCAGCGAAATTAAAATTTCAGGCAGCGATCTTACCGATGCAGCTAAGTATCGAGACAGCTAAGCAAATTATACTGTATATACTTTATGGGGTCGGAGATGCTTCCTTCTGCCTGTTGCATACATTTGCACAAATACATTATACCCTTTTTACCCATTTTAATTAGGTTCAGGGTATAATTAATAGGTCGTCACTTAAGATATTAATTGTTGGAATCAATGGACAAACAACATTTTAACGATAGATACGTTTTGTATATATACGATTGCTTTGCCAAATGTTCATCAAAATTGTGGCTTTAAAGTCACAGGAAATTTTTACAGGTACCTTATGTAATGAAATTGCATTTTAGGAAAATTAAAGCGCAAGTGTGGAAAAATCTTGAAAAACGACTGTAGACAATTTTTTTTTTAACCGATAGGCCTCAAATGTATTTTCAAAGATCTTTGCTCAAATTCATTACTCTTATCGGAATATACATTCGTGGTATAAATGGGGTTCAAAGATTTGGTCTGTGAAGCTGCGAGTTCAAATTTAATTCAAACGATTTTTATGAAAAATAAATTGAGATATGCTTAACAGTTTTACCAGAATCCAACCTTCCTCTGGAGAAAATGTTTTTTTAGGGTCAGATTTATGTTTTGCTTGGTTTTATTATTGAATACGTGTTTCAGCGGTTTTTCAAATTCACCAAAGACGAAAACGTTTGAATGAAAGTTTTTTGTTTACCATCCAATCGGCTTCAAAATCGTTTTCATAGATATTTGTGATAATTTATCTGATACGCGTAGGATTACATAATTTAGATAATTAGTTAGTTAGTAAGTTTACCTGACACTTGCATGCGCGCACTAAGCGACCAAGCTAAGTCAGAGTTCTGTCGCGACCGCTAGCTCAGACCATGGACTTCGTGGGATAGGTTTAGGTTATGTTAAGTTAGGTCATGTGAGGTTGACTGGCATTGACGCCAAATAAAGTTTATCAATTAAGCCCAAAGGTTAGAATCCCGCCGTTTTTAAAATCCAGTTCAACAACGTATTTAAATCGACCGTGTGAGAACAAAGGGTTGAAAAGTCGTCAAGCCGCACCTCGACAAAAAAAAAAACAGAAATGTCACCAGGCAAAGCTGTGACAAAACAAAACAAAACAACCGGCACGAAAGGGTGAAAATCAACCTAAAGCGTCAGCCAACGATGCGACAAAATAAACAGTAAAAAAAAAATAACTAAAATAACAAACAATAACATATAAAGAAAATATCAACACACAGTGTTGAGTAACATAAATTAGGAAAAAAATTCAAACAAAAACAACGACAGCTGCAGCGACGTTTTTCACCAAGAAAGACGAGACCCTGCCACGCAGAAATAATATTAGTACAGATAGTGCTAGTGACGAAGAATTGCTACCAAGCTATGAAGAAAATTTTGATATTTTAAAACAGAAACAGCCAATAGAAGACATGAATAACGAACAGATAAATAAATTAATACAGGCCACCGCAAATGGGGTAGTAGAACATCAGGAGAAAAATGTTGTAGAAAAACTAAGAGTAATGCAAGAACAAGTGCATAGTGGAAGAATCATTCGCAACATTTTTGGGTGACCGGCATACGAAACAATAGTATCTTTCAACACAGTGTTATTTTTTCAATGCAATTATTGTCCGCTTGGACTTTACATACGCGGACAAAATGCCAATTCGAGCTATTCAGCAACACTTGAAAAGTTCAGAGACGACGCATTACATACTTTTGTGTGGCCTTAAAAGGTCTCTTAATCAAGTAATCTCCCGCCCAACCGCGGGATCTGCCAACTGCCTTAGCTTTTACCCAAGAGGCAAAAGCTAGGAATGACCGCTATATGTTTGCGGGAAATTATGCCAGACATATAGAAGACAAATTTGAAAAACCTGAGAGCCACACTCCCAAGGAATAATAATAGACTTCGACGGGAAACGCTCAGCGGCATCAGCAGAACGCCCCACCAAAAAAAAATTAGCAATCAGGGCTCAATCAGAAGCTTTAGCGGTGTATGAAGATTTGCCCGATGCAGACTCACGCAATTTTTTGGGGAAGAGTCCCTGCTCGAATAGAAGCAGGGAGATCAATGAGATTGCTGTTAGACACTGGGGCTTCCAAAAATTAAATGAAACCATTGCCAGGGTTGGCACATTTTGTGCCTGCCGAGACCCCGTTTCGGGTAAAATCAATTCACGCGCATACAAGAATTAAACAAAAATGCCTCACAGATCTATTCAATACAAAATCCTATTTTTCATTTTGCACAGCTTAAATGATTTCGACGGCATCATTGGCCCTGAGCTATATAAGAAGGTTAATGCAAAAATCGATTTGACACAAAATATAATCGAGCAAGACCACGGCTCAAACCCCATTTAGTTAAGGAAGTGTCAGAATGTGAACTTCATAAGCATTGATGACGCAGAAGTACCGGTCGCCTTCAGAGAAGATTTTAACCGAATGATCAAACAATGATCGAAGGCCTCCGCTGACCCAAACGAGTCCCTGCCTTATAATATTTTCTCGGTGGCTACCATACGTACGGATTGAGAACTAGTTTATTCAAAATTGTATTCTTATCCAATGAGCGTCGCAGATTTTATCAATGCGGCAGTTAAACAACTTTTAACAGATGGAATTATAAGACCGTCCAAATCTCTGTATATCTCTGATGAGCTAGGCCACCGAAGGAATAGGTTGGTAATAGATGTCCGAAAATTAAACCAGCAGAGCATTGATGACAAATTTCAGATGCCCTCTATTATGAAATTATTGTCAAACGTAGGAAAATCCTAGTATTTCAAGACCTTAGACTTAAAGTCAGGTTGTCATCAGATGGAACTGGCGGAGATAGACCAAGAAAAGACAGATTTTTCGGATAACAAAACTTACCACGTTTACGTAGATGACGTTATTATATTTTCAGCTAATTAAGAAGACCACATAAGAGACACCGACAAAGCCCTTAAGACATTGTGCGATGCAGGCATGAAAAAGTCCAGAAAGGCATCCAAGTTTTTCAAAAAAAGCGGGGAA